TCATCCCTAGAGTTCGGATATCCCGTATGTATCACTTGTGTTTGAACTCTTAGTGGCCTCAATCACTTGCCGTTATGCGTGTCGTCGTGGCCCTGACTCCCAAGTGTTGGTGTGCTTTCTGTTTGATCACTAGGGGCCCTGACTCACAAATGATTGTATTCTACCTTCTGTTTGATCTTGAAATGTTAGGCACCGTATTTCTCCTGTGTCTTTTTTAGCATTTGTGATGTATGTTTCGTGCACTTCTAATTTCAACATGTGGTGTCTCAGTTTGTCTGGTCGGTGTGCATTACCTATTCTTAGTGAACAGTGTTATCCTTCTTATATAGAATCTATGTCTTACTGTGCTTGTATTCCGTCTTAAGGCAATTTGTTGTTCTTAAGTCGTATGTTCTGGACTCTTCAGAACAAATGTGTGTGATTTAGTTATTTTATCATGTTGTTTGAGCTTATATGTTTCTTTTCTACATTTGTGTCGTGAGGTATACTATTTCGTATTCATAAGAAGCTCACCCTTATGTATTTACAATAGATAGTGTTGTATTCTCTGCTCTCATGCCATTCTGATTCCTGATATATGATTCATGTACTTATGGATAGGAGTTCTAGAAAAACATACATGGGTATCTTCAATATAGTTAGAAATACGTCATACAAATTATATGTATTCGTATGTTCTATGTTGTTTGCAAGCAAGAGTTTCTCTTTGCGTCTTCGTTGGGCTATTCCATTGTATGTATCATTACAGAAGTTGACTTTTTAATAACTCGTACCTAATAGTATTTATCTACTTATGTCTTTTCTGCATCGTTTACTCTGACATGTATGTTCGTCATTACTCTTTGTTACTTGTTTAGTGCTAGAGTTGTAGTATTTGCTAATACCTGTTTGCTCGAGTTGTTAAAAAATTTGAATTAATGTATAGTATAATTTATTATTCTCTCTAGTAAGATATTATATATGTATTTCTTTTACATGTGCATATGGAGCCCACACGTAAGTATAATGTGATCGTTTTATAAAGCCTAAGAATATATGTGTCAGTTCTTGTATGACACTGCTGACAGGTCACTATTATTACTCGTCTGACAGCTGTAGTTATCGTGTGACAGTTGTCATTATGACAACACGTCTGACAGCTGTCACTTTCCTGTGTACCGAATTGTTATTGTGTCCGAATAGTGATGACAGTGTTGATTTTGGCTTAACACGAGTCTCTTATGCGTGCACCTTTTTAGGTTTATACTTGACACCGTGATGCTTAAACAACGTTCTTATGTGTAACTGTCGTTTTAGACGTATTTGAATTTGACGTGTGCTCGTACGTGTCACTGTCTTCCTAGGTGTCTTGTGTTTTGTCCTATTCAACACTACTGGTGTTGACTCTTGGCTAGTGTGTGAATATGTACAGAGCTTTCAGTTTATTTTACACTTGTAGGGCATAGTACACCAAAATAAAAGAAGTTATCACAATGTCACGTTTCTGAATTTTTCTAACGTCTTATCATTGATAATGCTATCACACTGAGGTTTCACTGTTTGTTCACGCGGGACGTACCAGGTGTGCTTACCTTTGGTCACGCCTAGTTTCACTTACTTTAGTAAACAGCAAGACAACGGTTGTCGAGCTTGTCGGGTATCTTGTTGGTGGAGCTCGTACTTTTTCAGTTTAGAAGTTTCCTCTTCGTCTCAGTCTCTTTGCTGAGCAAGAATTTCTTCTGCGTTGCTCTTAGCTCTCAGGGCCCAGTGGTAGCCTTACCCCTCGGTGGTATATTCTTTGTCAGAATCTTGTTGTGGCCCCACCCCTCTTGTTATTGTATCATTCTTACTTTGTACTAGTTAACATTTGTGTATAACAGAGTTCTGCTTCTGTTGGTTGACTTACCCCGGTAAAGATATTGTTAAAAATATAGAGTTAGAGAGTAGCTTAATGAGATACGACCAAAGGAAACAATCGACCACTTCTCCAGTGCGAAACTCTCAGCTAGGTAAAGTCCTAGGCTGAAAGGCTCACATTGAGTCTTTATTTGTGTTTGTTGTTTCTACACTAGAATCAAATTCTAATTGAGTGTTATTCTCACACGTAAGAGTCCCGGTATCATATACCGGAAATCTCGCTCTATTTCTGATCACTCTAATATCAGAAATAATGGATCCCGGATCCAAAAACTCAATATGTGATAAACCTGGGTTTTGGGTTTTGGATAGGCTTTTCTGATAATATGGTCCCTAGATGCTACACAGGCATCAGTATCTTCTGGGAAACCGCGAGATGACCAGAGTTGATATTGGGTTTGATGTATCCAGAATGCATAAATTTTCATAAATGTCAGTACTGATCGAAAGGATAAAAGACCACATACCAAGTATGCAACTTCCCAATATTATCTTTATGTTTCTTGCTTCCCTTCTCTTCTTCTAGAATATTACTATGGTATAGAGATCGTCACAATCCACTCCAAGACAATCCACTCCAAAACACAATCTCCAAATGTAATCCCGATAGAACCATGACGTTCCCAAATGAATGTATCTTTAAAGCCTTACAGAGAGATTAGAATATGTAAAAGGTATGATAGTTCAAATACAAGTTATTTCCGACACAACATTCCTACGTATAATGTGGCGGCAAAATCTAAGCTGTAAAGTGTCTAACTAAAACAATAGCACCTCATGTAGCCAACATACCTCGATATACTATAACATTTCTTCGAAGGGTTCCAGTTTTTTTTTAGGGACATATGAATAGTTATTTTCTCTTCTACACGTTATACAACTAGACAAACCTGAAAAAATGTAGTCAATGAGGTGTCCATACTTCATAGACAAACGGAAGCAAGACAAGTTTGTATCATGAAAAAAAAAACACGATGTCAACAGAACTACACTTAAGCTGAAACTCTCCGACATTCTAAACAAGAATTAGTACAGACATGAATATCTCCTGGCGAACCTGATATGAACAGAGCTGCGATTGGTTTTGATGTACCTAGAATGTATAAATCTTCATAAAATCAAAGTGATCGAATGGTCAAAAGGCGATCACATACCAAGTATTTAATCCCCATTGTTAACTCTCTGTTTCTTGCTAACCTTCTCTTCTTTTAGAATATTATGTATAGAGATCGTCACAATTTACTCTAAACACAATCTTCAATTGCAAACCCGATATAACTATGACGTTCCCAAATTGATGAATCTTCGAAGTCTGAGAAACTAGAAGTTGTAAAAAGTATGATATTTTAAAATACAAGACATTTCCGACACAACGTTCCTACCTATAATGTGGCGGTAAAATATAAGATGTGGTGTCTAATTAAAACAATAGCATCTCATGTAGCCAACATACCTCACAATTACTATCACATTGGTTTGAAGACTTCCAAGGTGTTTTTATCTTCTGCACGTTATACATACAACTAAACAAACCGGAAAAATATAATCCATGAGGTATCCGTACTTCATAGACAAAGGACTTTGAATTTAAAAAGTTTGTATATACACTGAGAATATATATTATCAAGTGCGACAAGACAAACAAACCATCCGACAGGTCAGATATCAATTGACCCAGGACACAAAAGGTATTCAAATCGTTTATATCAACTATGGTGAGCTTGCGAAATGGATAAACCACTAGGTGGATTTTTCTAGTTGTCGTCCCACCGCTTAGTCTCTGACCAAACGGTGTTTGATCTTTTAAACTTCCGTAGTATAGCGCATTAAGATCATCTACATATACTTCATTCGAAACGTGGCTCCGAGCAATAAGTGTTCAAACGAAATACATCACACATCGTCTTAGATGAGTAGTCTCGCAATTGTGAATGCATAAAAAGAGTATCACGGTAGTAGGTTAAGCACACCATGATTGCGGTAAACCTGTAGAGGGCTCTCATACTGTCGCATTTCTATGAACTCTACTTTGCGTTCAAATCCACGAATCTGAGTATCAAGTGGTACCGTTGGTTTTAGCTTCATGCACGGTATTACCTGTCTGTATGGTATATCCTCCAAGTCCTGTTCTTGTGTGCATACAATAAAGGCAGTGGCGTCTTCAAATGGCATAGATTGCAATTACTGCTCGTTTTCTACAATAAAACCTAACAGCGCCTTAGGAGTCCCTTCTTGCTGTAGAGCTCAGGTGTAAACCCATTTCCTCAGGTGTTGGTTTCTGAGCAAATGATGTTTCCACCTTAGCGCAAAATAAGGGCAATCGGCGAAGAGCTCCAAGCAACCGTTTCATCAGCCGGTCACAAGCTTGAATAGCTCTCAGAAGGGGTCCAACTCTGATGATTATACATCAATACTGATCTGATATCTGTAGTCTCTCAGGGGACTCTCGGGGGACTTGTCTTGTATTCGAATCGTAAGATAACATTAACCTCCACGGAACAACAAAACTTGAAGCTACAATTATTCAAAAAGTATGGAATGTCGGACCTCCTAAGTTATTAGACTGTCAATTATAACAACTTAGAAGTACTTTATTGCTGTGCTTGCTCAAGCTATTTTTGCTATACTGACCAGGGATTATTTCTGTCATGACTAATTCATGTACAGGGGAAAATTTAATTTCAATTGAACGAGGAAAACCCTATTAACATTTTAATTGTACTTGTTAATATAAACTACAGATGATTTGCTACGCTTACACCGAGTTATTATTGGTGGATATTTATTTCAAAAGAGATAAGCTACAATACATGTGCATATGGTATGGCTCTCATAGCCCTTGTAGTGGTTCGGGAAAGATCGATGGGAAGAAGTGGGCAGTAAATTTCTGTTTGAAGCTTGGGCCAAGTGAGTCGACCATGGAGGATATGCGCTGGGTCAATTCGGGCTGGTGCTGACAAAAACCTGACACCATCGGGTGTGCCATGTATTCGCTTGCTGACCTACTAAGTAGCGTACCCACCTCTGTGGTACGGATCGGGTCTGCACCGTGTAGTGCCGTGGAATGGGTTAGTGCAGAGTACGAAATACCGAGTACGACCAGGTCATCCGTCATGATTCGGGGTTAGGGGTGAGCCAATGCCGCACCAGACCACGGACGCATTCGATATGTGCTGGCTGGCCTGGATCGGAAGTATCATAGGCGGAACCAATAAGCGCGATGACTTGGTTTTAGCAGTGTGATTAGCCGGGGTATGGGGAACATCTGTTGATGTGTCAGAGACGAGTGTGGGTATGGGAGTTGTTCTACATGCTGGATAAAGGATCCAAGGTGTTCGTGGAGGGTCCAGATACCGTGGAAGTCATGGCGCTCCTGTAGTTGGTGAAGGAGATCAGGGCCAATGGGTGGCAGTTTCGGGCCTACCAGGATGCGTCGAATCAATTGTTGGATGCAGGTAAAGTGGCTGGTGGTGAATTTGTGGTCACCGGGGCAGACAGGGCAGAGACAGCCGTAGGCGTGGTCGTCGAGCAATGTGAACATGTACGTATTCATTACAATCATAGCACAGAGCCGGAGTTTTGTAGGCTCGAAGTAGCGGTTGAAGCTGTCGTGTCTGGCTTTGTCCCGATTTGAGATTTGCGGTATACTCATGACAAGTAGGTAGTAGTATTGGCGCTGGGCCATTGCCGCGATCTCCTTGTTGGACCAGCGTTTTGTTGAGTTCTTCCTAGTGTCGTCACAGCGTTGGCGGAGGGCCACATGGTCGGGTGTACGCCCGCCCGTGGTTTTGTATACAATTTCCAGGTGGGCATAGATACTGTACGGGAAGCGCAGTGATGGTTTGTCGTGGACCCAGGCGGGTTGCGTCAGAGGGGTGAGTGGGTTTGTGCTGCCCATTGAGTCGTGTTGTATTCCCAGGCAACCTCCGAGGTAGTCCGCGTATGGTCGTGCGGGGAGCAGGCCACAAAAGTGGAGTATGTTTGTTTGATATTTTGGGAACCTAGGGTATTTAGTGCCCGTGATGATGGCTGCTGCTTAGAAGAGTGCTGAGTTATAGCGCTCGAGTAGGGGGTCCAGCGCATCCTTCCGTGTAGGCGGAGCCCAGGCAATAATATTCAGGCCATATGTAGCCGTGGATAGGATGAATGTTTTGAACAGCACCAGTCGGTTGCGGGGGTGTCGCCAGCTGAAGCCACGAAAGCCATAAGCGCGGAAAGAGGCGATACCCAGGGACAATGCTGCAACAAGAAATTCCATATGTCTAGCGAGGTTGATCCCTGGTATTCCATGAGAGTGGGAACCCCAGATATTTGGAGAGTTTAGGCTTGACATGTGTAGGCGCCATCTTCAGGGGGAGGTACCGTGTGTTCCAAGGTACGTCTGCGAGCGTCGGCGTGATACGATCACCATTTATACGGAGGGTTGGCACCGCATGTGGCAAGTCGGTAGATCGTACTCGGGGTTTGATGACACCCTGTTCGAGGCCAGACTTGCACCCCCACGCATCAATGTCTGTCGTCTAAGAAGGGCTGGAGCGAAACCGATTCGGGGGCTTGGATTCGTGTATTGTCGACAAATAAATAAGAGCGGAGGAGCTTGGGTCAAAATTGTGCTAGCGTGACTAAGAAATCCATGTAGATAACAAAGAATAGCGCGCGGAGGCAATTGATTCAAATTTCGGGCATTCCAGCATGGCGCATGAGTACCCATAGGTGTGGGAGAGCAACCTTGTCGTATGTCTTGGTAATACCCTGTCCAGACAGACGTCGTTTCACTCCTCTTCCGACTGTTTCTCAGATTCCATGGCGGCGAGTGCTTGGGTGTGACAGGAGTATCGTCATTTGAAGCCAGCTTGGGTAGCATGGGTAGCAGAGCCGGGGCGGCTCGTAATCAGCTTAAGATAGCACTTCCCAAAGATGCGTCTGACTATTTGCGTAAGCGTGATAGGGCGGAAGTCGGCGGGGGAGGTGATATCTGTATCGGCTTTCTTCAGGTGCGCTGTCAGGAGGCTGCAGTTGAGAGACTACAGGTCTCAGGCTAGATTTTACAGCAAGAAACCCTCTTGATTTATGAAAGTCATCCGAGATAGCTCACTCCCAAGAGCTAAGTCATCAGAGTTAGCTCACTCCCGAGAGCTAATCAAGTTGCTTTAATTACTCTCAAGAGTTGAGTTAATACTTAACCGACTTCTGAGAGCAGATTAAGTTTCTCAACCGATTCCCGAGAGTGAATTAAGTCTGTCAACTGCAACAAACATTCTAAAAATAATTGCGGTTCTATGTGAGTCACAGCCTATGCGAAAAGGCATCATGTGATCAGCGTGAGATTTAGTTGTGTAGAAATACGGCCTCCGGTCAGTCTAAAATATCAAGATCAATTGAGATAATACATTGGTTTTTATTTGTATTTTAAATAATTTAATACAAGCTCTTTTTCCAATATTTCCAAAGTGTTCTAAATTCACTTTGATGGCTCCAATAGCCTGAGTATTTGGTATGACTCATCTACTTGGACCTATTTGAGACATTAGTAGATGTTGGATATTATAAGCTAAATTTTATAATCTCCGAACTACTACTT